TCCTCAGATCGTGGGAAAACAGTTTTGAAACCGTTCAGCTCGTATTTGAACGAGTCAAACGCCCAATCTGGCGTTCAGAACCCAACATCGCCTTTTAGAATTGAGACGCGAGGTTGGGTGTTGCCTGAACATCATTGAACGCAAGGGTCGCTCGCGTTTTGGTTTGTTGTAGTTTGGGAACGCGGGGGTCGGTGTTGGTTGAACCCCTACGAACGCGAGGGTCGCTCACGATTAGCTTGTGCTTGGAAACGCGGGGGTCGCCTGCACTTACAGAATTGTAACGCGAGGATGACATCCGCGTTTTAGAAGGAGCTAGTTGACTTGTAACTTCTTCTGTAAAGTGTTGCAAGGACCGTTGTTTAGTAATCCTGGCTTTAGCTGTTGTGAAGTGTGAAAGTCGTCAGATTGTAACTTTCACCGCAGAATGTGAAGACTGCTGAATAGAGTTTTCATCAGTTGTTGGAAGTGTCGTTGAATTGTAACTCTTCTCTATCAATGTGAAAAGTCCTCTATTTGCAGCTTTCGATTGTCGGCGTGAAAGCTATTTGATTGTAGCTTTCGTCGTTGGAACTTGACGGGAATCAACATCCATAGTGTTTTTAGATGAATATTTGCCCACAGCTCTCTACCAAGCAACTCACCAACTACGTCCAACCTTTTATTTCTGAAATCATTACACTGCTCATCAGCATCTCTAATAGTTGCTAATATAATATTAGTCATGTTGTTGTCGCAACCATCAAGATCAATCATCTCAGAAATGAGGCCGTGTTTGTAGCGATTGTAGAATTGCGAATACAGTGATTAGAAAGTCGTCTGATTGTGACTTCCATTGTCGGAGCTTGATAGGGATCAGCTATCCATCGTGATTTTTAGACAGCCTACAGAACCCCCTCCAAAGTTTTCAAAAGTTCGCGGTTGACTAGGACAAATTTTCGGAATACTTTGGATCCCAAAATTTAGTAGATTAATTGTTCGCTCTGTCTGATCGAGCCAGATGATTCTAATGTTGCTGACTGTAATCTATCTGATCTTCTCCAATATACTCCCCAACGGAGTCGCCTGTTTCTCCCCGACTTTGGTCGCCTTAATGATTGTGATAGCCTTGGTAGTCAAGAAGTTGCTATTATAGCTGTCCAAATAACTTCTGCATTTAAGAATTGGAACGCGTGGGTGAGCTCAGCGTTTTGCCAAAATATGGGACCAATAGGTGGGACAAGTGAGGTGTCCCCCTCCTATTGGATAATGAGTTGGTCATCATTAATGATGACCAACTCATTATCCAATAGGAGGGGGACACCTCACTTGTCCCACCTATTGGTCCCATATTTTGGGTCCTTAAGGAATTTTTCATTTCTTTTCAGCTCGCATTTATGGCTGAGTTGTCATGCTTCAAATCCAATTGCTGAGACTCTCTGGCAAGATCGAGAAATTCAAACAATAATTCAAGGTGGACCAATCACGGTCTAAGAAGAACTCGTCCCTCTCATACGATAACAAGGTTGATCAACAACGTTAATTAGGCTGATTGTGTGATCAAATCAAATGTCATTAAAAGTTGCATGCCGTGTAGCTGCAGTGAGTCACGTACAGTGAAAGTTCCTTGGTTAATTAAAGTTTGTTTGAACCAGAGCTGTCCCCAAATAAATGACCTCCTCGGGAGAGCACTGGGCAAGCAAATGCAAAGGCACGCGTTTCATTTTCTTCTTTAGTTTACTTCGTCCAATAAGAAGAGGCCACTCTACAAAGGAATTGAATCTTTTGGATCGTTTTTTTTAGGGCTGGGCATATTCGGTTCGGTTCGGTTTTAAGCCCAATCCGCATCCAATCCGAATTTTTCGAATTCTCAAAACTCTCATCCAGATCCAGATTTTTTTCCCTTCATCCGAATATTCGGCCCAACCGAAATTCGGATCGGTTCGGTTCGGTTTCGGTTTTAGACTGAATTAATTCAATTTCACAAAAATCTGTCCACACCTGAATACCGTTGTACTTTTGGATACATGGGATATCTGTTCCAATTCGGTATGTCCTCCCTGTGATTCAGTTTTAAATCTAATATCCTGCACTGGGATACCAAAGACATACATTATGTGCTGGAGCGATTGTTAACAGTACTTTCATCTTTTTGCTTTTTATCTAAAGCCAAGTTACAGAAAAGAACATGTCAACGTATGTTTTGTACATTTTGGTTGAGAAAATAACATCAAAATTCAACATTTTCTTTCTGACCGCACTGAAACAAGCATATCTCCTAATAGTATTCTTAAAATCATCATCTTCCAAGGCTTTTCACATCAACATGGAGTGTGTTAATGAATTCTAAGTCAAGAAAGGCTCACAGTTAAGAACTTATGAGGATATAAAAAAGTCGGATGCTAATATGATTACATTACTCTATTAGTAGTTACTACATATCTGTCCAAGGCAATCATGGATAAAAGGCAAAGCTTGCCATAAGACTAATTGATGTAGTAACTACTTTCTTTGTTATGCAACTAGAGAGTATTTCATGACAAGAATCTACAAGAGAGGAAGATGACAAGACTTTACAAGTACTGAATCATCCCTACAGGAAGATAAATTAGAGACCCAAATTCAAACAAATTATACAACTCTTATGGTGAACTCTCGAATGAGTTATCACTTGGCTCTCAGGTGTAGACATGCCATTAAGGCTTAGATTGGTAGGAGGTACAAGGAGGAGGTATGGTTTTTTTTCGGTATTTATATTAGAAAATTCGGTTCGGTTTTTTTTCGGGCGGTTCAAGGGTTCAAACCGGATCCAAACCGGTTTAATTCGGTTCGGGCGGTTTAGAGTCTTCTTCTCATCCATTTAATCCGGTTCGGTTAACCGGCCCGCTTTTTCGGGCGGTTTTTTCGGTTGAACCGGTTTTTTTCGGTTTTTGCCCACCCCTAATACCAGTCAACCTCTTCCTTTTTGCCACCATTTTGGACATGAAGGTGGTGTGGATATGAACATGACATTCAACCTACACCAAGAACTCCCCGTTTTCCGAATCAAGGAAAAGAGTCGCGTGGAACTGATCACCCAAGCTTCTCCCGAGACCCTTAGAATATTGGTCACGGACGCTCGACTTGAAAACTCGAGTCGTAAGCCAATAGTCAAATCTGGATTCCTCTTTGGGGACTTTGTTGATTTCGAGGCGGATAATGCTTACGATGGGGACTACAAGTGGTTACGGAAAGTTGGGAACCGTAACCTTTTCTTGCCTAATATGGAGAGGATGTACCCACTTTCTTATTTCCAGTGTGCTTCCATTCCACGTCGTATGGATTGGCCCCTAGTTAAGGATCAGGATGGGGTTATTCTCGGAACTCTGACTTTTCACGGGGTCCGCACACTCGGTTACAACAGGCAGGTGACAGCTTTGTGGCCAGGTTTATTTGCTAAGGAGTATCCCCTTGGCGAGGTGGCCAGCCCGGCAAATACCTTTGTCAAGAGGTTTGTGGCGAAGAAAGGAGAATTTCCCGCGCAAGGATTTAGAACTCCTGGCTGGGTTCATTCTCCAGTGACAGGGTGGTGGACCCGGATGACCAAGTTCATTTTAGATGAATTGGAGACCCCTCTTGCCCGAGCTGGATTGCAGACTCCCGTGCGGGCTACTAAGTTCGGGATTGTTCAGAGCCACTTTCATTTCTTCTCCATATTGGAGAAGTATAACCCCGAGACTTGTACTTTCTTCACCCCCGTGGGGGAGTTAGGTTTCGCTCTTGACGAGATGCATGAAGTCTCAGGTCTTATTCTTGGGGATTTGCCGTACGAAGAGTTTGTTCCGGGATCAGCGGAACTTAAAATTTTTAAGAAGACCAACCCCGAAATATACTCCACTCTTTGGGAAGTCATGTGTCACTTCTACATTTGCATGCAACTGACGGGGGCCCGAGGAAGAGGCGTTAAACAAGTGTCTTGGGCGGAATATTTATTCCAGAACTTGACCACTAAAGGAGCCTCAGTGATCCGATTGCCTGCAAGTACTTTGGAGGAGGTTCAGGCTCGAATTGACGATGCTACCTCCCACTACACCAATGAGGCCAAGGAAGATGTTTTCCCGGCTCACACGGAGTTTGAGAGTTTCCATTATCAAGCTCTGATTCCCATTTCCGACACAGCGCTGCTGGCTGGATTCTTGATGTTGTGGTTCAAGCGTTGCGTCGTTCCTACTAGGCCGGTCGATGCCCTCGCTGTTAAGGTGATCTACCCGGCTGTCCTTTTTGGCCCATGGGAAACCTGTGAGTCTCCTCCATGCTATGGTGAGTTGTTTACAGCATGGACTACGGGAGTTGGCCTCGGACTTCGTGGGTGTTACAGAGGTGGAGTCTGGGGGTCACAAGACTTTCAAAACTCCCAACCCCAGGGTGCCACTGCCATACACCTATCTGATGGCTTGGTATGTGCTCCACTACCCTCCTTTAATGAGTGCAGCCTCTCCCCCGGAAGATTCATTCATCCCATTCGTGCAACGACTAGAATCTGCGAAATGGGAAGGGGGATATATGGTTAGAATTCGCCAAATTTTGGCACGAGACACCCACTTCCATATCTTTCGCTGTTTCCCTAATTTTGGGGGCGGCGTCTACGGAGCCGAATATCAGGACATAGCGGGTCTAACGGATTCACTCAGCTGAGTAGGGGTGTTTTCCACTGGCTTCTCTCCATCAGGCCCAGCTACTTGATTTTCCGGCAAGGTGTCCACTGTTTCATCGAGCCCTACCAACCCTATAGGTTTGCTCGTCTATTTGGGTATGACCAGTTGTACGTCGGGAACCCTCGTCCTCAACTCTCAGTTATAGGCAATTTATATGAAGGAGCCAGGGCTTGGTACTTTTCTGTAGCAGGTTGTACCAAAGCCATCTTTAGGCTTCCCCATAAAACACCCAACTCCTACACTTCCATAAGCTTCTGTAATTGGTATTTCGCCGCTTCTCAGACTCCCAATTACAACCTGAATACATCTTGCCTAAAAGACATTAGGCATATGTATGCTTTAAGAAAGGGGTCCAAGACATCCCGCTTGAGAGGGATTGACGAGTTCCTATCCATCAAGAATCAGCCGGCTGGACAGGAAGAGGAACAAGGAGCTGGGCCTGTTCCGGTGGAAGAACAACAAGCGGTTGATCCCCCCACGACAAGAGCAGCTGGGAAGAGAAAACTCTCAGCGGATGAAGCCGACAAATATGAGAAACAGATCCATCGTAAGTTGCTGGTTGATTCCTCTCCCCCCAAAGGCCAACAAAAATCTAAGTTGATGGCTGATGCCATCAAAGCTGCTGAAGATGAAGAACAACATGAATCTTCTGTTGCAGGCCTGCCACGTAAAATTGGGCTTCGTTCTCATGGCCCAGCTCTATCGAGTGACACTTCTTCTTATCATCTCCCCCAAGATGAAGAGGATGAGTTAATGGCTGCAGATGCAGAATCTGCTCCGGTGATGGACCTTCCTAAGTCTCCTGCATTAGAACCAGGGGGTCTTGAAAAGAATTCATCCCCTTCTCCTTCAGCCTTAATGTCACAAGCTGGTGATTTAATTCCTAGTCCTACAATGGGACTTATGAATAAACCAGCTGTTGGAACAGATCTTCCGGAACCTTCAGCGGCTCAGGATGATGAGGAGCGAGTTGATTATGAAGACTCCTCGATTGGTGGTGCGGCTGACGAGGATAGAGACGATGAGGATGTTGACGTTGGCAACATGCCGGATCATAGTGAAGATGATGAAGAGCATGATTCCATAGATGACATCACCACTTTTGATGATGCTCCCAAGGTCCCATCCGATAAAGTATCTGGTTATACTCATTTTCATATCTCCGGTAAGCCTAGTTTTCTTCGACTTCTTCCGCATGTTCTTTTCGCGTTCCGACCCTTTTTTCGTGTAGGTTCGCCTCCTTCGAAGACTATTGCTGCTACTACTTCAAAGCAGGATCCAGCGCAAGTATCGGCTCCTCCACCAGAGCAACATTTACCTAGATCACCTACGGCAACTGCTTCACCTGTAGCATTTCCTGAAACTACTGATGCAACCCCTTCTCTGGAACAACAGATCGTGCCGGTGTCAGCCCTTGCGCAAGAGCAGCCTCTGCCTGCTTCGTCTTCAGCAGCTGCCTCACCTACCGCGTTGATGGCAGCTGCCTCACCTGCCGCGTTGATGAAGATCTCACTTACACCAACAGAGGCGAGGCCCAGCACGTCTCAGGCAAGGGCAATGATGGCTTTGACCTTGAGCCCATCACAATTGAATGTTTCTACCGCCTCTGCAGCTTCAGTGCCTGGCTCCCCTGCACCAATTTCAATGGCTCTGGGAGCATCTTCAAGTCTCGCGGGCGCACCTGAATTCCTTCAAATCTCTTTGGTGTACTTGAATAGCCTCGCAAAGAAGGTGATTGAATATGTGGTAGGCGGTCAGGACACTTTTAATTCTTTTCGACATCTTCTAGAAGCAGGCTTAAACGGAGTCCGAAGTGTGGGAAACACTCCATGGTTCGAGCGCTGTTCTGAGATTATTCTTCATTTGGAAGAACAATTGCAGCATTTTGAGGCCCTAGGACGTAGAGAGCTTCAGTTCGAGATCGTGTCCACTTTGGCCAGTCTTCAGGTTGCAGAAGTGGCTCGCCGGGAGGCGATAGAACGGGACTTGGCTGAAAGAGAGCGTCAAATCACGGAGCTTCGCGAGCGTAATATTCAGAAACAAGAAGAGTTAGAACGCTCGACTACTTCCATGAACTCGCTTCGTGATAGACTTGTCGAAGCTGAGGCTGAAGTTCTGCAGTTAAAGGCTGAATTTGCCCGCGAAGAAAATGTTGTTAATATCCTTAGCACCCAAAATGCTACGGGTACTCTTGAATATCACACACAGGCTCGAGCTTTGGAACAAGCCAGGAATGAAGCGGCAGCTATCATCATTCCCAGTGAGGAAGAGCTCCGGGCAAGGGCTGAAGCTATGCTGCGCACCACTCACGAAGAGGAGCTAAACAAAGTTAGGGTCCAACTCACATCTTTTGATTTGATGCGTGTAGGCAATAAAAATTGCCTTTAATCCTTATCAGAGAATTTCAGAACAAAACTGCTAAAAACTCGCCCGAAATAGCAGAAAAAGGGGAAAACGCAGATATCTCCCAAACCGTAAGGAATTTGGCGAAACAGAGGAAGCGAACCAAAGCCTTCGGCTTGGTTCGGATGGCTCCATCTCGTCGAGATAGGCGATTTTCATATATAATTCGTCCAATTCCGACTTACGGTTTGAAAGTTACGGCCTATTCTTCGATCCATGCTCAGGAGCTCGCCTGCAGACCCAAGTCTGCCTGCAGTCCTAAGCTCGCCTGCAGACCCACCTCATCGATCTGCGGACTCATAAATGCGGTTCATTAATGCTGGTCAAATCCACTCGGATAGTAGTCGTTTGTTGCCTCACATACAAGAATGGGCCTTCCCATCGTAGGTGACAGGACATAAAGCACAATCCCTGGAATGACCGTTCATGGTTTCGAGGAACAGCTAGACGTCTCTGAAGAAGATGTGGTCACATCCCACAATTCAAGGAGCAGTCAAGCTGTCTCCCTCACATGGTCAAATCCCATGAATCAAGGGATGGCCCATGTCATCCCTTGCCTACTAAAACCCATCTTCAGCAGCATGAAGAAAGGGGATTGGCCGTTGCATATTCTGCTGGCTAATCTCCCAAAGGTTGAACCTGGACTTTTGCCAAAGGCTCCCCTCATTTGAAGAGACTCGTCGGAACTCTCCGACTTGAGGCTCTCGGGTAGACTCGAACCCACTTACATCGGACCTTCTACTGCGTACTGAAGCTCCAGCAGCAACTTCGATCGGATCGTCCAAGGGAAGCAGACTCGGCACGAGCACCGAGCGAAGCGTCCTATCGCCACCGAAGAACCCACGTTAAACAAAGAGGGCACTCCCTCTGCTTCTGTTGTAAATATTTGATTATTAGTTTGTAATAAGCTTTCTTATCAATACAAACGAAGTTCCCTGTTTTCGGGAAATCAAAGTTTTCACCCTACAGAAGATGGCGACCACAGTGGGAGAATCCGTTCATTCAGATGAATTGGTGGTGGCGCAGTTTGACGAAGTTGCTGCAGGGACTACGGTTGAGTCCCTTGTGATCAAATTCGAGGGGTACTTACAATCGTCCTCTTCTCGCGGCAATACATCTCGCGATGGCTGCAGAGTCGTGCGGGTGGCCCAGCCCCAAGAGGCCGAAGCAACCAAGCCTGAGGGATCTGCCCAAGCCGAGGCAGGGGGTTCTTTTCCCCCCTTGACTCCAACGGGTATACGAGTATAAACTGTTCCCTTCACTCCAACTGGTGCATGAGTTTAAACTGCTCCCTTAACACTCCGACTGGTGCATGAGTCTAAACTGCCCCCTTACACTCCGACAAGTACACGAGTATAAACTGCTCCTTCCGATCCTCCAACTGGTATAAGAGGTTAAACTATTCCCCACACTTCCACTTCTTGAGCCAGGTTCCCAGTACGGGCGAACCGCTCAAATCGGGCAAGCCTATCAGTTTAGGCGTCAGGCTTGGGGGGAATCAACCTTTTGAGACAGGTTCCCATTTTTGGCGAACCGCTCAAATCAGGCGAGCCTAGCAGTTTAGGCGAGCCCATCTCTTTGAGCCAGGTTCCCGATTTTGGCGAACCGCTCAAATCGGGCAAGCCTAGCAGTTTCTTCTGACACTCCAACTGGTGCATGAGTTTAAACTGCTCCCTTAACACTCCGACAAGTACACGAGTATAAACTGCTTCTTCTGATCCTCCAACTGGTATAAGAGGTTAAACTATTCCCTATACTTCCACTTCTTGAGCCAGGTTCCCGGTTATGGCGAACCGCTCAAAACAGGCGAGACTAGCAGTTCAGGGGGGCTGCATCAAACTCCCACTTGGTCAAACCTTTAGATAGTTAGGACCAAAGCCACAACCCCCCGCCAATCCTCTTCAATAGGATGGCGGGACCCCCAAATCTGTCACGTTAACAGTCACCTCTGACAAAACAGCTTACCAGTCCTCTTCAATAGGATGGTAAGTCCATAGAGTTGCTCAAATCGCAATAAACTCCCACTGTCATGTTAACACTACACCTCTGACAAAATCAACTTACCAATCCTCTTCAAAAGGATGGTAGGTCCTCAAAGTCGCTCCGATCGCGGCAATTCCTATCAGTAGGGAGCAGTTTAGACTCATGCACCAGTTGGAGTATAAGGGGGCAGTTTAGACTCATGCACCAGTCGGAGTATAAGGGGGCAGTTTAAACTCATGCACCAGTTGGAGTGTAAGGGGGAAACTTGTCTTCTCTTAGGGCAAAGATGAAGACGAACCCTGATTTGTCTTCTCTTGGGGCAAAGACGAACCCTGAAATAGCAGCACATCGCATAGTAGGCCACTATCAAACAACAACGCCTTTTATGGGAAAGACGGTGCTGGGAGAATCAAATCGTTCAGGGACGTATGAGTATGACGACTGATCGGACAACGTCATTTGCGGGAATGACGGTGTCGGCTATCAGAGGTAATCGTTAACGTGATAGGAATTGCCGCGATCGGAGCGACTTTGAGGACCTACCATCCTTTTGAAGAGGATTGGTAAGTTGATTTTGTCAGAGGTGTAGTGTTAACATGACAGTGGGAGTTTATTGCGATTTGAGCAACTCTATGGACCTACCATCCTATTGAAGAGGACTGGTAAGTTGATTTGTCAGAGGTAACTGTTAACGTGACAGTGGGGGTCCCGCCATCCTATTGAAGAGGATTGGCGGGGGATTGTGGCTTTGGTCCTAACTATCTGAAGGTTTGACCAAGTGGGAGTTTGATGCAGCCCACCTGAACTGCTAGTCTCGCCTGTTTTGAGCGGTTCGCCATAAATGAAAACCAGGCTCAAGAAGTGGGGCTCACCTAACTGTTAGGCTCGCCTGATTTGAGCGGTTCGCCCGTACTGGGAACCTGGCTCAAGAAGTGGAAGTGTGGGGAATAGTTTAACCTCTTATACCAGTTGGAGGATCAGAAGAAGCAGTTTATACTCGTGTACTTGTCGGAGTGTTAAGGGAGCAGTTTAAACTCATGCACCAGTTGGAGTGTCAGAAGAAGCAGTTTATACTCGTGTACTTGTCGGAGTGTTAAGGGAGCAGTTTAAACTCATGCACCAGTTGGAGTGTCAGAAGAAGCAGTTTATACTCGTGTACTTGTCGGAGTGTTAAGGGAGCAGTTTAAACTCATGCACCAGTTGGAGTGTCGAAGAACTATCAGAGGTGATTGTTAACGTGATAGCTTTGTAGGCCCGTCGTCCTATTGAAGAGGATCGACGGGAGATTGTCAGAGGTGTAGTGTTAACTTGACAAGATTGTCGCGATTAGAGCGACTATGTGGGCCCGCCGTCCTGTTGAAGAGGATCAACGGGGGAAATTTGGAGGATATGAGGGATCGGTCTCCACTACCAAGGCATCTTGGTCATCATCCCCTCGAAATTCATGCGGGTCTTCGTCACCCATATGCTTGAGCATGCTCTCGACTTGTTCTCCTTGGCGGAGTAAGTCTTTCCATGAGCGAGCTTCAACAGCGCCCATATTGGACAGAACGCTGATGGAGAGATTGTTCCGGCACATCTCGATGAGCGTGGCCTCGGAAACTCGATCGCGGGAATGCAACGATCGGTTTCTGAATCTCTTGACAAAGCTGCTTACAGACTCTGTCTTCCTCTGCTTCACAGTTAGCAGGGTGGCCATAGATACTTCTGTGTCATCATCGAAGAATCTGGCCACGAAGAGCCTTTCCATGTCCTTCCAGCAGGTGATGGACCCAGGCTCCAATCTGCGAAACCATTCAAAAGCGACCCCCTTGAGGGTACCAATGAACAGTCGAGTCATAATGGGATCGTTTCCCACTATGTGTCCAGTTTGCGCCTGGAAGTAGTAGATGTGCTGGGTAGGAGAACCCTTTCCATTGAACTGCAGGAGGTCCAGCGGCTCGAACTTTGCCGGGTAGGAGACCGCATCCCATTCAATTGGATACGGTCTGACAACCCCCAGCTTGTTCGCATGCTTCTGGAGCTTCAAGGCGTCGAGTTGACTTTGGAGATCGTCAAACCTCTTGTCTCTTGGGTTATGGCCCGAAGATGACGCTCCTCTAGATGACTCGGATGAGGAGTGAGAAGGAGTAGGCACCCGCTCTTTGTGCTTCAAGGATTTATGCGAAGCCCGCGAAGTCCTCTCTCTCTTCCTCTTCTTCTCGCTCAGGAGCTGCTCCAACATCTCCTTCAGGGAGTCGATGGTTGCTTGTTGCTCGTCGAGCCTCCTAGACATCTCCTCAGGGATGTCAGTCATGTGCACATTTGTGTGCTTGCCCTGAACTGAGCTTGAAGTCTCCGACATTGCCACTGCTGAGCAATCGTCGTCGTCGTCGTCGTCAGAGACGGACGTCAGACCCGTGCAGGCAAACGAGGTGGCCACCCCCATTTGGGCGTGAGCGTGTTGGCGAGGTTCATGCTGGCGAGGTTCGCCCGTCAGGCGAGATTGGCACAGTGTGCCTGCGCCTGTCTGGCGAGCTGTTGCTTCGCCTTTCTGGCGATCTTGGGCCGTCAGGCGAGCTTGGTGAAGTTCGCTTGTTTGACGAAGCCCTCTTAAACTGCAGAGTTCGCCAGGTGCCCTTGGTTCGCCAAAATTGAGCACCTTGCTCACAGAGTGGGGCTCGCCTAAACTGCTAAGCTCGCCCGATTTGAGCGGTTCGCCAAAAATGGAAACCTGGCTCAAGAGGTTGGGCTCGCCTAAACTGCTAGGCTTGCCCGATTTGAGCGGTTTGCCAAAATCGGGAATCTGGCTCAAAGAGATGGGCTCGCCTAAACTGCTAGGCTCGCCTGATTTGAGCGGTTCGCCAAAAATGGGAACCTGGCACAAAAGGTTGATTCCCCCAAGCTTGAATAATAATTCAGGCTGTCGTGGGGGATGAGGGATTGCGCCTCGAGACGAGCGAGAGCTTTTCGTCGCCGCTGTTTGGATCTTTTTGAACGAGGAGCGTTCATGTCGACGACGG